GGAGTGCAACGTGAACGCTGATCCATGCCCCCCCTGCAATGCACTTAGCCTACAGAAGCAACAAAGTGCACACCCCTCTAGTGCAGGGGTCCTCACAACACATTTTTTGGTGGTCTCAGAATGCAGCCACCAACTTTTGCTGGTGGCCGCACTGAAACTTTTTCCTAAAATACTTAATTAACTTTAGGAAAAATAAATAAATATGCACATATACCCATCCAAATAATTGTAATTAATTTTTGTAAGGGTTTTTTTTTTTGGCGGACTCAATAATAAAAATAATGCTGTGAACAGTAATACACCTCTACCCCAATATAACACGACCCGATATAACACGAATTTGGATATAACGTGGTAAAGCAGTGCTCTGGGGGGCGGGGCTGCGCACTCCGGTAGATCAAAGCAAGTTCGATATAACGCGGTTTCACCTATAACGCAGTAAGATTTTTTGGCTCCCGAGGACAGCGTTATATCGAGGTAGAGGTGTATTTGTATGTTTGTTAATAATACTTTTTGCAGCAAATTTAGTAGCTAGCTGGGCGGGTGTGAAAAGCGATAAATTATATTAACAAACATATAAGAATAATTTTTCACAGCCTCCTAGCTAGCTAATAAGTCTGCTGTGAAAAATAATATTTGCATGTTTATTAATATAATTTTTATCAACAAGCCCCAGGACAAACTAAGCCCTGGATGCGGGGTGGGTGGGAGGGAGGGAAGGAGCAGCTGCGATGGATGTGGGGCCAGGGGAGGCAGCGGGGACCGGGGATGATGGGGAAGGGGATATGAGCCCCACTGCTGTGCAGCCAGAGCCAGGGGTTGGAGCACACAGCCAGGGCTAAGGGTCAGAGCCCGCTGCCACTGTGTGGCCAGGGCTGGGGGTGAGAGCCTACTGCCAGGGCCAGAGGTCTGAGCTCACTGCTGCTGCATAGCCAGGGCTAAGGGTGGGTGTCCAACCACCCCAGGGCTGAAGCCTGAGCCCCACCGTCCCTCCCTCCAAGGTGAGTGGAGAACTCACCTTGCTCCTGCTTGTGCCCCACCTGTCTCCAGAGGCAGTGCAGGGCAGCATATCCAGGAGCAACAGGGAAAGAGTGGGAGGGGTCAATGCTTTGCTCCCTCCCCCCATGTCTGCCCAGGGCCAGGAGACTGTCATGGCTGCATGAAAAACCCCTGGTAGCTGTATTTGAGAAATGCTGCACTAGTGAATCCTCTTATATCTCCCTTGCCTACTTTCCATGCTTCCCTTACACTTGGAATGCCGTCCCCTTCACCACATTCAACTCCCTCCTTAAATCTCACTTCTGTCATCCTGTGTATGACAAATGAAAGGGTGCACAGTTAACAAAACAAGGAACCATCAAGATATGTATCTCACTATTGTCTTTCTTCACTTCTCTCTCTTGACTGTTTAGGTCCCTCCCTTGTTGAGTCATGGTAAGTTTTAGTTTCTATGCTCTTTGGGGCAGGACTCGTGTCAGTATTTGGTCTGCGAGGTTCCATGCATACTGTAGGAAACTCAAAAATAAGTAATATTATTGTGCTTGCAGACAATGACTTTCTCTTTATATTCATGTACCACTAGCTATCAGCCAGCTATCCAAGGTTTAGAATTAATGTATGTTAACTTAGAGGCCTAGCTACACATGTACTAAATGATAAGATAATTTGATTATATCGCAACCTTAAATAACTATTCTTATCCAAAAAAAGGATCATGTCTCTCAAAATCTATTTATTGCAATACAGTGAAAATTCCCTGGATTTATCCAAACTTATTCAGTGTCTCTCATGATCTTCAGATAATTAAGGCTGCACTATAATTAAACGTTCTTCACAACTTCCAACCTTGTCTAAGACTACATGCTGCACTCACTGTTGTCTGTTGTATGATGAGCAGGAACAAAGATAGAGGCTCGGGTTTCAGAAAGAACCTACTTTGGTGTGACAGACTCCAGTAGGAGCTCAGGATGGAATGCAATCAAACTGGTGGCCAGACTTCTATTGAACAAACAATGGCCTTTATGTATGTTGAATAAAGATCTCTTCCATACAACTCTGCCTGCCTTCAACATTGTTTATTGCTAATGAAACACAGTGGTACTTTTGAAAATGAAGGAGAGGTAAACCCACTTCCTGAAATAAAGATTTCAGTCTCTCTTCCCCACCCACTGATAACCGAAACAAGGCAAGTTTCAGGCAGGCACTTTCACTGCAGCTGCTTGAAGGGGAAGAGAGAAGGAAGATATGTCAGTGAAAGAAATCTATGTGCCAGAAGTTAGAATCCCAAATCTAAGTCTAGTTTAAGGAAGGGGGTGGAGTTCAGAGCCCAAACCACAACTTCAAAGTGTTGTCTATACAATGTTTTTTCAGAGCGCTAGCATGAGCCCCACTATCCTGAGTCTGTTGACCTGAGCTGGGAGGCTTGCTTCCGCTTACTCCAAAATGGTGTGTAGACATATCTTGATAGGGACTCAGCCTAGGGTGGCCAGGTGCCCGGTTTTCAACCGGAAAGTCTGGTTGAAAAGGGGATCTGACAGTGTCTGGTCAGATCTATTGACCAGACACCCAGTGTCCGGTTACTCTGGGCTGGGGAGGCGCCAGGTGATCACACATGCCAGCCCCTACTCAGCCGGGGCTGCCTCCTACCTGTGAAGGCGACTGCAGCTCCCAGCCCTGACTCCACAGGCAAGTCCTTCCTGACCGGGGTGGGAGGGGAAAAGCAGTGAGTGAGAGGGGGAGAGGGGAAAGAGGAGTGGATTGGGCAGGGTCTTGTGGGGAAGAGGTGGGGCAAGGACTGGGATTTTGGGGGGAATAGGCAGAGCAGGGGTGGGGCCTCAGGGGAAAGAGGCGGGCCAGGACAACAACAGAAAGGAGGAAGAAAAGGGTGACAGTGAACATAAGAGGTAACAAGACCAAAGGTCCATCTAGCCCAGTATCCTATCTTCCGACAGTGGCCAATGCCAGGTGCCCCAGAGGGAATGAACAGAACAGGTAATCATCAAGTGATCCATCCCCTATTGCCCATTCCCAGCTTCTGGCAAACAGAGGCTAGGGACACCATCCCTGCCCATCCTGGCTAATAGTCATTGATGGACCTATCCTCAATGAACTTATCTAGTTCTTTTTTGAACCCTGTTATATAGTCTTGGCCTTCACAACATCCTCTGGCAAAGAGTTCCACAGACTGACAGCGCATTGTGTGGAAAAAATACTTCCTTTTGTTTGTTTTAAACCTGCTGCCTACTAATTTCATTTGGTGACCCCTAGTTCTTGTGTTATGAGAAGGAGTAAATAACACTTTCTTATTTACTTTCTCCACCCCAGTCACGATTTTATAGACTCAATCATATCCCCTCTTAGTTTTCTCTTTTCCAAGCTGAAAAGTCCCAGTCTTATTAATCTCTCTTCATATGGAAGCCATTCCACATGTGGTTGCATAGGCTGGCAAGTGAACAACTGATGAGTCACATTCAGTTACATTTTACTTATTTTTAAATATATTGAAAAGAGATAGCCTAGGAGGAGTTCAGATTTCAGGAGTTGAAGATACATGGTACTCAAATGGTAATTTCTAATAGATTTGCAAATGGGTCTCAGAATTTACTTATGCCCTTGATGTGTAATCACTCCATACTGGCCAACATATAAAGGTTTGTCAGAATTTTATTAATTTACAAATAATCTCTCTATAGAAACTTCTTATTCACACTTCTTGGACTGTCTACTATACTAGTATTTATACACAAGCGGTATCTAGACGTAGACCATTTACCCAGTACAATTAAGATAGCCTGATTTTTCTTTCCTGTTAAAGGATGGTAGTTCTAAAACTTTGTAGGAAGACACGCAAATGTAGTATATCTTATTAAGTGGCTGCAGCTTTCAGAGGATAAAAACCTTAATGTTCTTAAACATGGAAGTACAACAAGACATAGAAAATACACTAATTTTAATAAGCTTAAAAATGGCACACAAGAAGTGGCTTCTCTCATCTTTTGTTTAATAAAAGCCTATTTCTCATCTGCTGCTGGATTGTTTCCCACCCTCAAACTTGTACAAAGCTGCAAATGTTCCATGTCAATACACGTTGTATTTTAATGACTTGATTTTTCTGTTATATATATTTTAAAACCCCAATACCCGAAGAGATTTATGTAGAGAACTAGATGTCAATGTGATCCACTTGGGCCTGCTTGTTTGACCCACGTGCTATGGGGTTGGAGCTCTCCCTGCACACACTCTCTGTTTTAAGTAGGAAGGACTTTTCATTTCAGTTGCGGTTTGCAGTATTCTTGGAACAGTGTTGGTCCCAGGATATTAGAAAGACCAGGTGGGTGAGGGAATGTCCTTTAATGGACCAGCTTCTAGTGAGAGAGAGAGACAAGCTTTCCGGCTAAGAAGAGATCTGTATGGCTGGAAAGCTTGTCTCTCTCTCTCAAAAGCTGGCCCAATAAAGGACATTCCCTTACCCAGCTGTCTTTCTAATTTAAAAGCAGCCTGCTGTTAAGAAAGCACCATCAGGACCGACCCCAAGTGAGTTAATCTGATTTTACCAAGGAGGCATAACTCACTGGAGGAGAGGAATGTTCTGCGAACCGCTTTCACTGGCTCTCGGACGCATAGCAGCCTGCAGTTGCCTCCAGGCCCGCTAGAGGCCGCGGCGCCCCGCTATCTTGCTCGCTCCCTGTGTCACATGAAACTCACATTTATTTCAGCGTCCTCAAATGACCCTCCCCGGCGGGTGCCTGGGCCAAGCTGGTGACTGGCCGGTGGGTGAAGCCGCTTCAGGAGCCGGGGTTGGGTGTGGGCTGAGGCAGGGCTCAGTGGTGGCTCAAGTGCCCGCCTTCGGCTCAGGGCTGCTGCGGGGAGACCGGTTCGGATCCCGCGGGCGGGGCCAGCAGCCTGCACCGGTGGGCGGGTGCTGCCTGCGAGCGCTCCCTGGGGCATGTAAGCGCTCCGCGGCACGAGCCCCGGGCGGGGCCGGGAGGGCAGCCCTGGCCGGCGGGGGCCCCGGGAGGAGCTCCGCTGACACGTCAGGGAAGAAGCATTTAACCCGGCAGCGGGCTCCAGGAAAAAGGAAGAGAAAGTGCAAAGTGGCGGAGGCTCGCTCAGCCCGGCGCTGGGCTCTGGGGTAGGTGCGGCCGGGCTGGGGGTCGGGGCAGCCAGGCGGCTTGTGATCCAGCCGCACGTGGCCGCAGAACTGAAGCTGCTGGGGCTCTGCTCGGTGCGGCGCTAACCTGGGGAAACGCGGGCCTTGCTCCCTGCTCGTTTGTACTTAGAAATAAGTAGGCTTTAAAAAAATCCTGCCTCCCTCTTCCGCAGGAAGCCCGAGCTGCTCGGGTGCACATAACGCTCGCGTCGGGGGGCTAGGAAGTTGCTCAGAGTTCCGGAAGGAAAAAGTGCTGTCTCGATTATTTAATCCTCGAAAGGGAATATTGCGAGGAAGTTGCCCGGTAGAAACGCCCTGTACAGGCGCGTGGTACGTATCCTGGTCTATCACCGGCATCAGAAAGCGTGCGGCGGTACCCTGTGCTCAGCTGCACATTTCTGGCTTTGAATTCTTTAGAGGAGTTGTAGTGACTGGTCAGATCAGCTTGTTTTCAGGTTCCTCGCGCGTCTGCCCATGTTGATTATAAAAGAAATAACTTGATGGGTGAGAGAAGAGAATAACGAGGAGAAAATCTCAGGGCAAGATAATTTTCCTCCAGAGTGTAAGCATAAGGCTCTACCTTTCCGTCCTTACTCTTCAATGCCATGTTTCTTTGGAACAGTTAAACTGTTTGTGTCTTTTAAAGGGGCACAGCTTTAGGAAAGGTAGACTTTGTGTTGTTACCTGCACTTCTGTTTATTATTTTGCAGTCTGTGCATGCACTTTTGTAACATTCTCGTGCAGTGTTTGCAATCTAAAGGCTGCAGCACTTTGCATGAGAGAAAGCTGATTAAAAGTGAAAGGAATGCAAAAAGTAAACTATACGGTGAAAAGTAAAAGTATGCTTCTAAAAATTCATTGTTTTAATAACTTTTTAGTAAACCTGACAGTCTCTTCGGGGCCTGATCCTATAGCCAGTGAGTATTCTGCCATTGACTTAAATACAGTATAAGGTGATTGGTTCCCAGATGAAAGTCTGCTATCTGTGATGTGGGGTCTGTTGGACTTTCCTGTACTAGGTTGGAATGAAATCTTTCTAAAAGTTTATCAGGCTCAGTTGTACCTAACCCTTGGGTCTTAGAATAGTGAATTGAATTGCAATCCCTAAAATGATTCACATAGTATGCTTAAAAAAGAGACTCATTTTAAAAGGACTGTCAACTTTAACAAAACTCACTAACAGGAAAAAAAATCTATTTTCTTTTAAAGTTTGTCCTGAATTGTTAAATCCCTTAACAATCTCTAAATAGTAGGACGGTGGACAAGAAACGTAATGGGAGCAAGGGAGACTGTCAGCTTGCAACAGGGGCAGAGAGGGCCTACTCTCTCTGAAATGTACCTGCTATTTTTACAAAAACCTCCTAAAATTACACTAACCAAAAGAAGTTAATGAGCAGAAAAATTCTCTATTTTCCTCTTTGCTTGCTGTGTGCATTTGACAGCACTTTGGCCCCAATCTTGTAATCAGATCCATCTAGGCAGTCTTGCACTCACATGGATTCAATGGCAGGATCAAGGTTTGTGTATGGTAGTTTCAGTTCCTCCTTCTCTTCTGTGTGGTCTGTTAGCAAGGGAGAAACTGAAAATATCTTTATAAAAGGATCTGATTACAAGATGGGGGCCCAAGTGCTGTCAAATGCACAGAGTAAACAAGCAGAAAAAATGGAGAAATTTTCTGCTCATTAACTTCTTTCAGTTAGTGTAATTTTAGATGGTTTTTGTAATAATGATAGGTACATTTCAGGAGAGTAAACTTTCCTTCCCTCCCTCCAACCAAGCTTTCAGTGTCCCTTGCTCCCTTTAAGTTGCTTGACCTACTATTTGTGTACCTCACTGGATCTTCTCCCATATGTCCAATGTTTAGGTTGGCTGGCTGGGAGGTTTTTGGGGTGTGATTTGCAACTGTAGACAACCCCAGTGTTCTGATTCCACTACATGATCCTGAATAAATATTGGTGCCTGGTGAAAGCAACAGACATTTGGGAGGTAGGGCATGACTAAATTCAGGGCAATTGAGAGAGACTGAGTAAAGCTTTCCTCAAAGCTTAAGTGAATAGTGGCCTTTACCTTGCTTTCATTACCTTTCCTCTGAAAGACACTAAGCAAGTTAAAACAATATGGGGCGGTATTATCTTTTTTTTTAGGTAACCACAGGGTTAGAGGGAGTAGAATTTGCATCCCTCTGACTCTCTACATCTCCTCCTTCTCCCCCATGGAGACCTCTTCTGCACCAGGTTGGGGAGGAGTGGAGACAAGACAGTATTACAGCGGTGGCTAAGCCTCCCTTCCGCACAGAAGGGGAAATCCACATGCAGGGGGTTCCTTTCTGTGCAGATGTGGTGGGGAACAATGTCAGCCTCTGAGATGAATATTGTTTAGGAGTCAGATGTGGGGAGTGGTACTCTTCCAAGCTCCACCTACAAAACAAGCTTCACTCACTGCTCATAGCAGATATGGCAGCTATTCAAAATATGAGGAGCCCAGAATGCGCACAAGTTTCAGCTCCCCCTCAATGGGGTCCAAATACATTCATGGGCCCTGCTGAGCTTCTCACACTTGGCTTCTTTGATGGGCCTTGACTGGACTCTGCGAGACTGCTTGGGTTTGACTCCTTGATCTTGGGGTGTGTGTGTGTGTGTGTAAAAGTGGGGGGTACTCCCCCAAGCCCATTCACTTGTGGAACCAACATGACCTGTCGCTCAGTAGACTGTGCAGATCCTTGTAGTAAAATTTTCACTCTCCTTTCTTACATGCTTTGATGAGCAGTGGAATAGCTAATCCTTTCAATGTCAACACTGTTATCATTGGGCATCTGAGTTAGCCCCTAATTAGATGAACGGGGCCATTCATCCATTTTCAAATTTTGCGAACAAAGGCGGACATCACTGTATCGATTACGCTTAGTTCGTCTTTGAGGCTGTCTCAGCAACTATAACAGCTAGAGATTTAATTTTTAAAAATGAATCTTAGATTTTGGAGAATAAGAGAGCAACATGAAAGAGATGTACCAATGGATACTGGCTGAATCTGAGCCCTGATTTTTTTTCCTCAGAATATTGAAGAATCCCATCAGTAATCAAAAGAAGTCTATTCCATACCTTAGGTTTTTCCTAAACCATCTGTCATTGTGGTATGTAAATGATGTACAAAAATTAAAGGTAGAAACTAATGTTATCTTAATAGTAACAGTCTTGCTTCCTAACCCTTGTTCTCTGAAGATGCGGTTTTCAAAGGAGCCTAAAGAAGTTAGGTGCCCAAATACTATTGAACTGCTTTAGGTCCTGTGATAATCTGAGTCTTTGTATGTATTTGGGTAAACCAGTTAGACCGCCTACTGACAAAATCTGCTGCAAGTTATTCACTAGCCTTATATTCTGCTTATACTCGTTTTTAACATAGACCAGGGGTTCTCAAACTGGGGGTTGCAAGGTTATTACATGGGAAGTCATGAGCTGTCAGCCTCCACACCCTAATTCCACTTTGCTTCCAGAATTTATAATAGTATTACATATTAAAAAAAGGTGGTTTTACTTTATAAGGGGGGGTCTCACTCATAGGTTTGCAGTGTAAGAGGGATCACCAATACAAAAGTTTGAAAACCACTGACCTAGACCATGATCCTGCAACTGGTGCCCTCCTGCCTCACCCCCCTCACCCTGATCTGCTGTCAGTGGATCCTTGGTCCTTAGTATCTCTGAAAATTAGGCACTGGTGTCAGGTAGGCAAACAAAACTAGTGAACGCTTCTGAAAAACTTGGCTATAAACAACCAAGGAGCCTCATAAGTAATGTTTATACCCCATGACTTTGTAAAAATATTGCACTGAAATGTGCTTCTGGATTCAGAGGGGTGAACATACTAATGAATAACAGGTATTTAGGCCTAAGACCTCATCCTTTTGATCTCTCATGGCTTGTTTTCATTCTCTTCAAGCACAGGCACGTTGGACATGCATATCTGTCCTAAATCACTCTTAGTCTGCAATAGCCAGACAGAGCTACAGTTATATTCAGAGACTGTTGTTACTGCTTCAAATGTAGTCTGTTTAGCTTCTTGGTATTACGCATGTAGGGATCTGGGATCATAATCAAGCCCTTAATTATTTTACTCTCTTTAGTAAATTAGGGACTGAACTTCCAGAAAATGAATGCTGTTACATAAACAGCTTCTGAAGCTTCCATTTTATGGTCTGTTTTGTCTTAGATTTTTTTCCTCTCAACATTAGCTGCTTAACATCTATATAACTTCTGTACTGTTTGCAGATGGGATTTAAAATTACATTGCTTTCTCAAGGCAAGATTAAAGCATAAAAGTTTGGATCACTACCAAAACTACTTTACAGGACAAAATGAGAATGGTTTAGAAGAAAAAGCTAAATGACAAAAAATATACCAGGGCAGCTGACTGCCTGAAGACCAATAATTCAAACGTGTAAGGGGCTTGTTTTTCTGCCACCTTGGTTGTAAACTAGGAAAGAACTGAAGTTAAAGGAAGGGGTAGCTAAAGAAAGAGAGGTAGTTGAGATAAATATTTATATATGAGGTGTTCAAATGGAAAAAACGTGAGTTTGTCTCTAAAGGTGAGTTTTCTATAATAAACAAATAACTGGATGGTCCCATTTTATGACAGGTGGGGTAAAGGTGTTTTAAGAAATAAGGCACAGTGAGGTTAAGTGACTTATGCAAGGCCGCATGGTGAGATACTGACAATCTAGAATCAAACTTGGGTCTCCTGACTCCCTTCCTTAATGCTATCTACTAAATAGTGCAGTCTTACTAAAATACCATCAATATTTTAAAATTGTTAATCTAATTTACTTTCACTGGTTAGGTTTTTGCATTTTACTCCCATGTGAGCAATTAAATTAGAACCACAAAGTGAAACTGACCAGACTAATTCAATAGTACGATGTGACTTGGGTTCTCAGGACACCAGGGAAATGTTTGAACATTTAATATTAAAAGTTTAAATTTAAATGTAGA